AAGTGTTTGTGGCTGGACTTCAGAATGAAGTTGCCTACGTATCCCAAAGATGGGAATCAAGCCTTACGTAGTTCGGGGTTAAGGTACACTCGGGTATTAACCTCTCCTTTTTAGGCTCTAACTTTTGCCAAGGCGCCCGTTGCGGGTTTTCGACCTTGTGAGATTTGTTCTTCTTTTTTTTTTCAATTTTTTTATCTTTTCATTCTTTTTCATTCTTTTTCGATTTTCTTTTTTTTTTTGTTCTTTTCTTTGCATCTTTCTTTTTTGTTCTTTTGTTCTTTTCTCTTTTTTGTTCTTTTTCTTCTTTTCTTGCTCTAACTTTTGCCTGGGCCGCCCTTCTGGGTTTTCGGCCCAGCGAGCCTCTCAAGGGTAAAAGTATAGCTTTGTCCCTATGGAATGATTTGAGATCTCGAAGCCATCTGAATCCAGGAGAATGGCTGTTGTTCGCTGATGATGTAGGAGTCCATCCAATGGGGGGGGCTGAATTTGCCCCTAGTGTTATGGATAGGAACTTGTTTGTCCTTCACCAATACTTTCTTCTCTCTTCCCCTCTGGGATTTGGCATTCTCGCTGATCTTCATCTTTGACTCTTCGAGCACATCTGACATTTTTGCCCCTATTTTGAGGGGGGGCTTCTGATCTAGCTTTACAAGCTTCCTTTGATCTGATCTTCTTGATCTGACTTTGGTGCCTCTTGTTCGAGGACTGCTTCAAAATGGCCACACAGGCCTCACATTGTGGTTGACCGTTGAACGTTCTGAACTCAGGTTCAAGGTTTGAAAGTGAGGGGTCGAATCTCGAGGCTGAGAGCGATCCTAAGCTGCACAATCTCAAGAGCGATCCCACACAAGTCTTCGCAGGACCGCGCAAAATATTTTTTGAAATTTTTTAAGAAAGTGACAAATCGCTCGTGCCGAAGACAGACACAGGTCTTCGCAGGATCGCGCAAAACATTTTTTGAAATCTTTTAAGAAAGCGACCAGTCGTTCGCGCTGAAGACAGTGTAGAACCAATCTGGATCAAGCTAGGATCCTTCCCAGTACTCACACTAACAAGCATAATCTCAATCATTAAGGGCTTCGCATGCCTCTCTTTCTCTCAATGGATTAAATTTTTGCAAATCCCGAGGAATTCCTTCCCCTTTGTTGTCATCACAATGTTTAAAAGGTTTTGAAAAACTCAGGTTATTACAATGACTTCAAGGCACAGAAAATGCAGAGTTCATAGTCAAATACTGCCATCTCATTCAGAACTTCCAGCATAACTGGCACAAGGCAGAAGCAAATACGAGAGCGTGAAAATCACTGCTGTTTCATTCAAAATCTATCGGCACAACTGGTTCCCTGGCAGAAACAGACTCAAAACAAAACGAAAAGATAAACACAAAACAAAATGGTGACGCCCGAGGTAACACCCCCCGGAATCACCCGAACTCCTATACAATAGGACTGACTTCCCAAACTCATTATCAACCCCAAATACATAAATTAACCCAAAAACATGATATACTAACATGAATCAAGGTTAATTACATCTCAAACACATCAATCTTGAGTCAATAACAAAATCAAGGTCTCATCTTTTTCATAACTTCATGAATTTCATGATCAAGCTCAAACACATAAAATAAAATAAAAAAAACATGGATGATCCTTCAACAAATCTTTGTTGTATGCACAATCTAGAGTTCATTTCATGCATTAATCACAAGATTGGACTCAAATCAAACAAACATGAAGAGATTTCTTACATTTAGTTCAATCCATTACATAACTTAAACCCTAGCCAGGCCGTTGTTCTTTCTTCTTGATTCCATGATTCCTGAGTAGGACCCCCAGGGCTTTAGACAAAGACATATAGAGTGGGGTGAAAACCCTCTTGCCTCGGGGTAGATAGTCTGAAGTTCGGGGGTTTGAAGTGGATGCACCAACAAAAGGGGTGGCTGCTCTTGATGTGGTGGTGGCGACCATGCTCACTTCGGAAGATCTTGCAGCTGCGTCACCGCTGGTGGTCGCATTCGAATTGCGGGTAAACGCCCTCCTGGGCTGCTCCTTCTCCTGGTCAAAAAGGCCCTGCTTCATAGCGTCCTCGATCTGTACTCCCATCTCATGCAAATCTGAAAAGGTAGGGAAGGGGATCACAATCATTTTCTGCATTAGCTTGGGCTGGAGATTGCGCACAATCATCCGTATTTGATCCTTATCCGTTGGCCTAATGGTCATCATTGAGGCTTTGGCTCTCCAGCGGGTCACGAATTCTGAGAAGCTCTCCTTCGGCTCCTGCCTCATCGTCTCAAGATCACGGGTCGTAATCTCGATTTGGGTATTATATGAATATTGTGCGACGAAGGCCTCGGCCATCTCCTCCCAGCTTTGTTTCACTGAATCCTCCAATTTGGCATACCAGGTGACTGCAATACCCGACAGGGTCCTGCCAAAAAGGGAGAGCTTCTGTAATCTTGTCAAGCCCATCGGGCGCAGAACATCTGAAAACAAACTCAGGTGGACCATGGGATCTCCTGACCCGTCAAAACGGTCGATGTGAGGCATCTTAAACCTGTCCGGCAGTGTCACAGCTGCGTCGGTGTGCCCGTCCTCAATGTCCAGGATGAACTTTACCCCTTGCGATTTTTTTAACAACTTTTCAAGCTTGCTCAACTTCAACGCTGTATGGTCTACCTCGAACTCAAAGGGAGAGTCCGGTGGGTTGATTGGTGCTTTAGACAGCTGGGGTAAGAGTGGAGGCAGAGCCAGCCCTGTCGGAATGTCCGTACCTTCCTGGACATTTGGTGTCTCCCCGAGTGCTGGAACTCCTGGTAGGGGAGGAGCTTGATGCGAAGCAGATGCTCCGTTTTGCCGTTGCAATCTAGTTATTAGCTCTGCCTGTTGGTCCATGACCGCAGCCTGCTGTTTGGCGAATTCAGCTTGGGGGACAACATCTTGCTGCATGAGTTTCATACTTTCTTGCATCTGGCGCATCATTGCCTCCATCTCTGATGTGTTCTGCTGATCCATCTAACTGACTGGTATCTATCCCTGCAGTAGAAACTGAGACCTCAGCCTGACTATTCACTGGTGGGGTGGATAAGGGCCACTGATCTAGTAACTATTGAACTGGTGATTTGCGCCTGACTGGCCCTTTTACCCTGCCTTTGGCAAAGGAACACTAATTGCCCTTGAACTGAATCTGTGACCTGACAAAGTCTATCAGCATAAGTTCGATGAACCTCGGGGGATATTGGAGCCCTCTGAAGCTATGGTTCCCAGACTACCTAGTAAAAGAGAAAACATGCAGCATCTCAGCCCGATTTCACGATAACCCATATGAGCAGAGTTGAATGATTGTGCGTCCTACAGAATTCTGCCTAAAATTCTGCCCGTAAACTGATACCCTCAGGTGAACTGAATCCCAAAGTACTGAACTGGTGCCCGCAGGCCTGATGCCCAAACTTGTAGACTGATACATGCATTTCCCTGTAGAGACGCACTCTAAAAGTACACAACAGATAAGTGAGAGCCAAAACACCCCTATGTTCGGGTAGGGTTTCCCTGTCCTATTTTGTCAGGAGCTAGGGTTTCACTACGCACGCAGCGGTTTCAAACAACCTATAAACGGGTAAGCAACCTGTCCTAGTTTGGAATGGTCACTATGGATCCGAATATGCACTAGGTCGAATGGTCAAAGAGGGTGCCCCGGTAAAACCGGGGTTTGTGCTCCCATACTCACAAAGAACTAACTCTCCGATTTCTTGCTCATCCATTAGTAACTCTTACTGTCTGAATCATGTTCTTGATTGTGTCATTGTTTCATTTTGTGCTTTGGAAAAAATATCAATGAATTGCATATCTAAATTATATTCTGAACTATGTACCAAAAGAAAATATATATCACATTTTCTTAGGAGTATAATAAAAATTGGGGTAGTTAGATCATGCATCACTCAGTTGCTATATTCAACGACACACACATATTCAATTTATCTAATACCTAATGCAACTTGGCAGTTGTGATATAAAAGGACCAAGGCCAGTATTTACTTCCATTGCCTTTGTCATCGTGTTATCTTGATCATTATTAAAGGTTGATTCCCTTGGCCCTACCAGGTTAAATCCAATCTAACTTCAAAAAATAAAATAAAAAAATCATGGACACAGCAACTAACAGAATAGAAAACGACAAATGTACATAACATCAACAATCCAATCTGTTTGTGCACCTATTGTCCCACTACTTACACATATTGCAAATTAAGTTGGGGAGGAAGCAGACTCACGATTTGCTGCAGAACGGGTTTTCCTCAACCTGCCACCTGTATCCCGAATGACTTCATCCATGACTGTCTCTTGCACGGGGGGAGTCTTTACATTTTCATTTCCTGAAGGCGATGCCGATTCAATCTGAATTGCTTCAGTTTCTTTTGAATTTGAATGGCTGGAGGCTTCAGCAGAGGGTTGAACTGAAGTTGTTTTCTGTGCATTCAAGCCTGCCAGAGGGGCAGCCACTGTAGGCACTTGAGAAGGACCCGACTCCTGTGCTTCCTCGAGTTCATGATCACTTGAGGATGTGCTAGAAGAAGAAGAAGAGGGTGGTTCTTCACTCGGAGTTTGTGTTTTAGCACCCGGTTTGCGATTTGGTGTAGCAGTGGGTCGGCGAACTCTAGCACCTTGTTGCTGGGGCTGTAAATTGTAATCGCAAATAAATTTTTTCAACAATTAAAAAAAAGATACCAGCAATTTATAAGTTGGTGAAGCACTTGTATACCCAAGTCAAATTTGGAAAGAAAGAAACAAGATAACCACCTGGGGATGAAAACATAAATTGGAAATAGTTTTGTAATAGACAAGAGACGGCAACATTGGCTTTAATGATGTTTTCTATCAAAATACATTAAACTATTACAGCATTTAATGAATTAAAATCAACATTATGATCAACTGAAAAGAAAACTACAAGATGCAATTGTATTGTGATATTTAACAATCGTTGCAACAAAATGTATTGTTTCCGTCACAATTTTTAGAATGTAAACGTGTAATCATCAGCATTATGACTAGTACTACACATTAAGTCTGATGTCTCCCTTAGAAAGTCTACTCTTTACAATGTGGATGCTTTCTTTACAGAAAGTCCACAATTTTAATGCTCTGGGCAAAAAAAGCAGTAAAAACAATTCAATTAAGAATTATTCGAACGCATCCACTGAAATTTTTTTCCGAGGAAAGAAACAAACAAACAAGATTTTCACCCGGAGAAGCAATCAATGGAAATAATATTTTTATTATATTTTCAGCTGGAGAAGCAATCAAGATTTTCCCTGTTTTATGACTGACTCACCCAAAAAAAGATTTTCCCTGTTCTATGATTCGATGTTCAATTAATAAGTACATACTTCCAACACAATTTTAAGAAATTGGGCATTTTAGGCACCAAAAGGATATTCATGGTGCACAGGAGTCAAAAGACCAGCAAATAAGAACGAAGACTGATTTGCACAGATTAAAGACGTGCAGGATACAAGGTACAGTACAACATAAAATATATAAAGACAGTATTATCATTCCCTAATTGTACTTCACCATACATACCTGTGCACGTTGAGGTCTTGGCGGTGTAGATTGTGACATATAAAATCATAGTAGTTAGAAGTCGGATACTGTTTGGCCAACCATTCTCTAAACCAAAGATAGAGACAACTGTGTTCCCTTGTCGGTCTCAACATAAACTATTACTACTACTACATATATAATCCATCGTCGCAGACCAATTGCTGAACTAGTAAAGGAGATTCCATTACAACGAACTAAGAAAAAGTGTTGTTTTCTTTCAACAGTTTATCTCATCAAGTACAATGCCTAGTTATGTCAATCTATGGGTGATATTGGTGCACCTCCATCCATAAGCACAAAGAACTAACTCTCCGATTTCTTGCTCATCCATTAGTAACTCTTACTGTCTGAATCATGTTCTTGATTGTGTCATTGTTTAGTGCACATGCAAGCTTAAAATACTATGCAAAATAAGGCCTAAAAAGAGGTTTAAACACAAAGAGTAAAAAGGGAGCTTCAAACAGCAAAAGTACCTTGATAAAACATGAAGAGGGGGTCAAAATAAGCCTATTTACAGTTTGGACCAGAGCCTAAAAATACAAGCACAGGGGGCTAACAAAACATGCAAAAATAAGGCCAAAAGAGGGATAAAGAGGCAAGTGGAAAAAGGAAGCCTCAAACAGTGAAAATCCCTTCAACAATGTTGAATAAGGGCTCAAAATAAGACACTTTACAGTTTATAACCAAGCTCAAAACAGTTTACAAATGAGCCTAAAATGCTATGCAAGAAAGAGGCATACAAGAGAGGTAAAGAAGCAAGTGTAAAAAGGAAGCCTCAAACAGGGAGAGGCCCTTAAACAAACATGAAAAGGAGCTTAAAATAATGCTATTTTCAGTTAGGGTCGGTGCCCAAATATGCGAGCAAGAGGAGCTAATATATTGAGCAAAAATAGGCAAGAAAGAGGGAGAAGGAGACTTACCCTTGTAGCCTATGTCTTCAACAACTCTTGGACCAAGTTTGGGGGCCCTTGACCTCTGGAAATGGCCTTGAAGCTTCTGGAATGGAGTGTGGATTGGTTGGCTTGGAGATGGTGTATAAATGGTGTAGGACTTGGGGGGTTTTGATGGTTGGAATATAGAGAGAGAGAGAGAGAGAGAGAGAGAGAGAGAGAGATTGAATGCAAGAGGCTTCAACCAAACCTTCTAACCTCTGAAATGGGAGCTAGAGGGCCTGTTATATAGGCAAGAGTGTGGGAAAAAAGGGGGGGAATTTCAAATTCAAGTTTCCCCCCTAAAAGGCCAAATCCTCAGACATGAGTGAAATGCAAAACAGAATACATGGCTGGAATACACTTGGGACAAGGATCATGGCCGGCCGGGTATTGAAGTTGTAGGTGGCCAGCCGGCCCTCCCCATGGCCGGCCGACCAAGGGTCAAAAGGCTCAAGAAGCATTAGTGGCCGGCCACCCCAGATTGGTGGCCTCCCATGTGTGTACAACACAACCATGTGGTCAAAAACTGGAGAAAGTGAACCAGGAGAGAGAAAATGCCACTTTTAGGAGGGGTTCAAAAGGGTCACACACAATTACTGGCCGGCCATGTGATATTGGTGGCCTCCCAGGTGTGTACAACACAAATATATGGTTTGGGGCAAGAAAAAGTGGCCTTAGGGTGGTTAACATTGGCTTTCAAGTGAGAAAAAACGGGCGACAGAGGGCGATGGAGGAATAAAACTGGTTGTCAGAACAATTACTGGCCTCCCACCCTTCTACGACCTTTCTAACAATGAAACAGAGGTCCCTGCCAAAAATGAACTCAAACCGATGCAAAATGGAGGTTCGGGGGCCGAAACGCGCAGTCCGAGGCCCCGAAAACTGACTGTTCGGCACCGGAAGTGGTGTTCGACCACGAAGTTGGTCTCTCGAGCCACAGTGTCCCTCAAAATGGAGCAAATAAGATGCATGCCAAAAACCGGAGCAAACGGAGGTGGTTAAGCGGTCCTAAACCGAGACACACGGCCAACGGCTTCGAAAAACCGGAAACCGGACTCCAAACGGGCAAAAATGGCCTACGACCATGAAACGTAGCCTACAGTCGCTGGGAGATGATCTACGAGACCTCTCCCTCCCTTTTGGAAGAGAAAACAGAGAAAACAGAGCCTGGTTCGCAAACCGAGGCAAAGCATGAAAGAGTCCGGAAGTCCGGAGACAAGGCTCGCAGTCGAGATTCTGAAACTTCTGAACGAGCACTATATGCAATATCACCGAGCGCTCAATTGGTAACGTCTGAGTCTTAAGGTCGGTCAAAAATGGGGTGTCTACACCTACATACATAAATAATACAGTGCATTGGAGCCTAGTGAATAATAAAAGAGTAAAGGATTTAATAAATGTTGTCCATAACAGATACAAAAAAACATAATTCAGCTCATAACAGAGGTGGGTTCATATTCTTGTTCAGAAATCAGTATTTGTAACAAAAATGGATATAGAATCATGTTTATAATCATAATTTAAAGTCAATTGTACGTGGTACATCCATTAGCACTAATAGAAATAGTTGACCCATAAAAGAACAGTCATAAAGGCATACAGTTGACTCACGTGCACATAGACGGTACAGTTGGCTCATGAGACATACAGTTGGCTCATAATTGGGACGTAACAGACCAGATAACAGTTATCAGCTGAAGCTAATGATGCCACGAGTACATTTCAGAAACATTGGACTAACACTCATTCATATAGAAAATAATATTTCAGAAAACAGATCATCTTATATCAATCAGAAAATACTTAAAAATTGAACATAACTTTACAAAGTTATTACTCATAGTTGACTTCAATAGCAGACAGACAGAGCATATAAAGCAAACAAACAGAGCATATAACCAGATAGCTTACGGCGCATGACCTACATAAACACAGAACGGATACACATTGAACACATGTGTCACAGATATTCCTCTTTCATGATGTGTGTTCCTAGCTCTTATCCTCATTATTATGTTTTAATTAGGGCTTATGATAGACTAGGATACAATGAGGATGCCAAAATGTGCTTTGGAACACTTAGTCAAATTTTCAAAAACAGGGCAGTCCACTCGAGTTCAACATTGGTTGCTCGAGCGGTCTGCAAAGTCTACAAAAGTACTGGTTCCATGATTTTCTCACTCAATGGACATTCAACGGTCGCTCAAGCCAAAGATTGAGTAAATAGGGTCTCCGCTCGAGCGCAACTTCTTATGCTCTAGCGGTTTACAAAAGTCTGTAAAACTTCTGGAAGCTCTCATTTTACGCTCGAACGAAGGGTCAAAAATAAGGGTGGTCGCTCAAGCGTAGGTTCTGTCGCTCGAGCTAACCCCAAAGCTCTGTAAAAGTACTAGGAGCTCACATTCTTCGCTCGAGCGTAGACTTCACCACTCGAGCGGAGAGTGCAAATTCCAGAATTTTCAGATTACTAATTCAAGTTCAAAATCCACTTTTAAAGCATCAAAACACATCCTTTTGGGCCAAAATTTAGTAAAACATTGAGAAACCCAAAATACATGATGAATTACAAACCATTTCACAAAATCAAGCCCAAAAGCTTTGCCAATTACACTAAAACCAAACTTGAAGTTTAGTGAACATAACTTGTATGTAATGTCATGAATTCCAACCTTCCAAAACAAGATCAAATGAGGTAAAATGATGGCAAACTTGATAAGCCCTTAAAAGAAAGCCAAAATGTGAGATGTGTTTGAAATTCAAACTCAAAATATGATGAAAATGCATACATGCATGATATGATATTCCTTCCTCTTTCATAAGCTCCACTCTTGCATTACTCAACTTAATTCTCCAGAATTCATGTCCTTGATATCATAATTATATAATCTAAGGGTTGAATTCTTACCTAGGCTTTCCAAAGTGAGCTCTAAAGGCTTAATCCTTGAGTCTCTAAATTCAAAACCTTCAATTCTCTACAATTTTTCTTTCTTTCCTTGAATTCAACTCTTTTGAGACTTCTCTCTCTCTCTCTCTCTCTCTCTCTCTCTCTCTCTCTCTCATGTTTTTGAGTTCAAGAAGAGGATGAAATGCCTGTGTCTAACATAAGCTAGAGTCAATTGTGCCTTATATACGCTTAATTAGGCTGCCTTAATTAATTTGAGTTAAAGATAGTTAATTAGGAGTAGTTTATTGTAATTAATTAGGTTCGAAGCAAATTTTAATTAAATCTACCATAAAATTCTAAAAAATTCAAATAATATATATACATAGTCGATTTCATGTTCAGAAGCCGATAAGGCCTTCGATTCGCAAAACAAAACAGAAACACAGACAGATATTTCTATGACAGATAGATACAAACACAAATAACATAATTCACATGCAATTAACTTAGAATTTCCTCTTAATTACTTATTAGGCATTTTTAATCAAAGATTATGGTAAATCACAAGTCGGGATTGTTACAGTCTTCTCCCCTTAAAAAGTTTGGTCTTCCAAACTATAATTACCTTCAGTTTGAAAGAACACCGAATCTAGAGGGAACAAATCAGGGTATCTTTTTATTATGTCTTCTTCAATTTCCCAAGTTACATATGTCCCTCCGTGGTTTTTCCAGTCAGCTTTCACCAATGGAATTTCTTTGTTTCTTAGCATTTTGATCATGTGGTTCACAATCTGTATTGGTCGTTCTCCATAGGTGAATTCATCTTTCAATAGCACATGAGTTGGCTCAATAACATGTAACGGATCCCTCGAATAATCTCGGAGCATTAGAACATGGAAAACATTATGCATTTGCTTCATGATTGGAGGTAAAGCCACTTGATACGTTATCGGATTGACTTTCTCAAGAATTTTATAGCAATTTCGATTTTCACCCGTTATCTATTGTATCCCAGACTCGGGTTGGCATGATTTAGAATAGTTATTCATATCTTGTTTCCCTTGCTTCCCCCATATTTTGGTTATCGGGTTGTGGTTGTGCGTTTGGAATAGGTTGGTTGCTTGATTTTTTCCAAACCTTGTTGCCCATATATTGGCTCCTTCGCTCGAGTGGACTTCACAAATTTTGTTCCTCTACTTGAG